TGCGCAATTGAATTGCCGATGAAATGATAGGAGTTTGAGGGGGACCACTTGAAATGCTGAGGGCTTGACTTGATGGCGCCCTGTGGCCCAGTCGTCGCCCAGAGGTACGAGGCGTGATTGGAGGGCGTGAAGCTGGTGTTCTCTTTCTTTGTAATGGAGGCATCTTGTCGAAGCTAATGGAATTGGGGTCACCAGGGATGCGATGAGAAAGGGAAATGATGAGGAGAATGAAATGGTGGGTTTCTATTGATGGGAAGCCGGCCTAGTCACCTGTCCACGGGTCGCCCTTCGAGCCTACATGAAACAGGCAATATGATCAATATGATTAGAACTAGATTATTGTACAACGAGTGAATGGACTAGTATACAAAGTCATACAGTCGTGATATGTAAAGTGCAGGCAGATTCGACATGCAATCGAAAAATTCCCAAAAAAAAGTAATACAAAACATCGTATGCACCACATAAGAACGCTAGATTTCATGTTTTCATTCACTCTTGCGTGGTTAGCACCAGGCCAGACTTAGCTTCATCCAGAGAAACTTGGACAGTTTGACCAGAGACAACTTCACCTCGGATGATCTTATCAGCCAAGCGATTTCCAATCTCCTTGGCAATGAGACGGTTCAAAGGTCGGGCACCAAATCTGGGATCGTAGCCTTTCTCGCACAGCCAGTTCTTGGTCTCATTGTCAACCTGTAAGATCATACGGCGGTCATCGAGTCTGGCCTGAAGCTCTTTGATTCTGATGTCGACGATATCACGTAGAGCATCCTTCGATAGCCGCCTGAAGATGATGAATTCATCAATTCGGTTCATGAACTCAGGTGGGTATGCGCTCTGAACCACATCCATAACAGCCGCTTTGACCTTTTCTGGGAGTTCGGCATCACCGGATTCTTTAATTGGGTGTAAGGGGTCTGCCCCGACCAAAATGCTAGCTCCAAGGTTCGAGGTCAACACAATCAGGGTGTTTCGGAAATCGACCTTGTGGCCTTGGGCGTCTGTCAAGAAGCCCTCGTCGAGGACCTGCAGCAGTAGCGCCGAGATATCACGATGCGCCTTCTCGAATTCATCAAATAACAGGACAGCATAAGGCTTCCGTCTGACAGCCTCGGTAAGCTGGCCAGCATCATCATATCCGACATACCCAGCAGGGGAACCGATAAGACGACTAATTGTGTGCTTCTCCTGGAATTCACTCATATCAAAGCGCAAAACAGCAGTTTCGGTGGAGAAAAGGAACTCAGCCATCTTCTTGCAGAGCTCAGTCTTTCCAACACCGGTGGGGCCAAGGAACATGAATGAGGCCATAGGGCGGTTTTCTCCGCTGAGGCCAGCTCTCTGCATCCGTACAGCGTTTGCCACAGCAGAAAGCGCTTCGTCTTGTCCACGGACTGATTTTCGGAGAGTATCCTCCATATGAATCAGCTTCTCCACGTCTCCAGCCATGAGCTTGTTAACGGGGATGCCTGTGGTCCGAGAGACGACATTTCCAATATCATCTGCAGTAACCGAGTCATGAATCAAAGTTTGATTTTGAGGATCCTGTTCAGCGCCCTCTTTAGGTAACTTGGTTTCGAGGTCCGGGATGGTAGAGTATCTCAACTCTCCAGCCCTGGCAAAGTTTCCTTCGCGTTGAGCTTGTTCAAGTTCAAACCGAGCGCGTTCCAAATCCTCCTTGGTGCGTTTGATAGCATCAATTTCGGCCTTCTCCTGCTCCCAGGCCTCGGTCAATTTAGCGGCCTCCGCTTGCTTGGTCTTCAGGTCTTCTTGAAGCTTCTCCCGCCGTTCGCGGCTGGCAACATCCGTTTCCTTGCGAAGAGACTCAAGCTCGATTTGGATTGTGGTGATATCACGTTCGAGTTCCCGAATTGAGTCGGGCTTCGACTCCTGCTGCAACCGCAGAGCTGACGCAGCTTCGTCGACAAGATCAATTGCTTTGTCAGGGAGGAATCGATCGGTGATATATCGATTGCTGTAAGTAGCTGCAGCTACTAAAGCACCATCTGTAATTCTGACACCATGGTGTACTTCGTATTTGTTTTTGATGCCCCGTAGGATTGAAATAGTCGAGGCGACCGATGGCTCGTTCACCAGAATAGGCTGGAACCGTCGGGCAAGAGCCACGTCTTTTTCAATTAATCGATATTCGTTGAGGGTAGTGGCACCACAGCATTGAAGCTCGCCTCGCGACAGAGCAGGCTTGAGCAGATTACTAGCATCAATACTGCCCTCGGCCTTGCCTAGTCCCAGCAAAGTGTGGAGCTCATCAATGAAGAGGATCACCCCACCTTGCGCATCCTCCACTTCCTTCAGGACGGCTTTGAGACGCTCCTCAAAATCGCCCCGAAACTTGGCTCCCGCGATTAAAGAGCCTAGATCCAATGCAACAACCCGTTTGTCTTTGATGCTCTCTGGGACATCTCCTTGTACGATGCGCTGAGCCAACCCTTCGAGAACGGCGGTCTTACCAGTTCCAGCAGCACCGATCAGCACAGGATTGTTCTTAGTTCGCCGGGAGAGAATTTGAATAGTTCGATGAATCTCGGCATCTCGCCCAATGACTGGATCCAGCTTGCCAGCTTTAGCTTTCTCTGTGAGCTCAACACCATACTTTTCGAGTGCTGGTTTCTCGTCCTCTCCACTCATATCCATCCGGTGAGTGCCACCTGGGGGGTGTGGACGCCCCCCCTTGGAATAGTGGCGGACATATACTGAGTTATGGTTGACGGCTGGTAGAATGATAGAGGCGCAGGGCAGTATGCTTGACCTTGGGATCGGAGACAGAAGGCGGGTCGATGATAGGTGAGACGTTCGCAAAAGCCGGCTGCGGGCATTGAGGGATAATCTCGCGGCCATGATGTAGATAATGGAAATCAGGCCTTGAGAGAGAGAGGAAAAAAAGCCGTTCAGTAACCCAACATCTGAGATGTCACTGGTATAGCTTAAATACCATCAACCAAGGTCCCTCGGGAGGCTTCTCGAAAGATCCACATAGCGAACGCTAAGTGGCGGAGAGAGCTGAAGCTCCGTCACCAGTTAGTCACCTGACTAGTCAAAGCTCCATCCTGAAGTCACCAGTCAATCACATGACTAGTCCAGACAAGCTCGCCAACAAGTCACCTGACTAGTCTTCGCTCTTCCACGTTTTTCCGTGACTCCGTTAGAGATTTTCCGTAATAAAAAAAAATCCTCCCTTTTTAACCCCTCCCTCATCTACTTTCTTTTCCTTTTTTCCTTTTCCCTCCAGATACCAACACACCTCTCTTTCACAATGGGTTTCACCGACTTTGTCTCTGATGCCGGCCTGACTCGTAGGCGCCCCTGAGATTTTGTTATTTCGAATCAATTGGTGACTGACTGTGCCCCTCAGTGGCCAACAACTTCCTGTCCACTCGGTCCTACATTGTTGGGTATGAATGCCTCCCCCCCTTAATTGCCCAATTTTTTTTTTTTTTTTCCATTCTTCTTTTCTTCCTTTCCTGTTATGCTTTCATGATGAGAAACATTGGTCCGTGTTTAGGAGGCGGATTAAGACCCCGCTGGATGACTACAACCAATCGCGAGCAATCGCACCTCTGATCTTGCTTTACTATGCCACATTGTTGAATACTTTACATCTGATGTGAACATCAATGCTAACTCTGTTCAACAGCAACTCGCCCAGCCAGGCCGATGTCGTGACCTTCAAGGCCTTCAGCGCCGCCCCCGACGCCGCCAAGTACCCCAACGTTGCCCGCTGGTACAAGCACATCGCCTCTTACGAGAGCGAATTCTCCACCCTCCCCGGTGACTCCTCCGCAGCTTTCACTACCTACGGTCCCGAGACCACCGAGCTTCCTTCCAACCCCAAGGACAAGCCCGAGGAGGAGGATGATGATGAGGACCTCTTCGGTTCCGACTCCGAGGAGGAGGACCCCGAGGTCGTTGCCGAGCGCAACAAGCGCCTCGAGGAATACAAGGCCAAGAAGGCCGGCAAGGTCAAGCCCGCTGCTAAGTCCCTCGTCACCATGGAGGTCAAGCCTTGGGGTATGTGTTTTTCCAATCTCTTCTTTCACCTCAGATGCTAACAAACATTTCCAGATGATGAGACCAACCTTGAGGAGCTCGAGGCCAACGTCCGCGCTATTGAGTGGGATGGTCTCGTCTGGGGTGCCTCCAAGTGGGTTCCCGTCGGCTTCGGTATTAAGAAGCTCCAGATCAACCTTGTCGTTGAGGACGAGAAGGTCTCCACCGATGAGCTCCAGCAGACGATCGAGGAGGATGAGGACCACGTCCAGTCCACTGACATCGCTGCCATGCAGAAGCTGTAAATTTGCGATGCCCATTTATGAAGCAGGAATTGTGTGATGGAAATGCGTGATGTCAAAGGAATCCTTTACGAACCTAGTCCAACTAGAAAGCTGGTCCAGTAGTGACCGGTCATTGATGAAAATTTAAAAAAAATTCATGACCATTATATACCCCTGTAAATTTTCCACTGTAATTTGCCAATAACCGTGTCAGGTAGTTGATCAAGCTTTCTTTCTTCCTTTTGGGACTTTCATACAGAATACTGGAGCGGTAATTGCTCGACTGACTTTCAAAAGACAGATATCGACTTTGGGGCATTCGATGTCTCGTATATCAACGCTCAATATATACATATATATGGCTTCTAACCAACATTCAATCAATAGTCCCAGATAATCAATCACAATTACCTGGCCTAGTCGTTGAATCGTTTCTGTTGACGTCGCTGTCTCATCATAATTTTCTTGTGGATGATGGTTTGGCCGCTTTATGGGTTATAAAGCCTGCATAGATCCTTGGGTAACTAGTACATATTCTACATTATACAAGCGAAGGTTTAAAATTCCTTGAGGGGCTCATTTAAATAACTAAAAATGGAAGAAAAAAAGTGTTGGTTAACCCATTTGAAAGGGAATTCTTCATGTCCCGAAATATATTTCCGCCACCCTGTCCTCCTTGCAAGGCTGGTACATTATAGCGATGACCTAATAAGGCTTAGCCCCCACAAGCTTCAGCAGTTTATCATTCAACTGTGGAAGCTCTAACGGTTGATCTCTATCTCTTGGATCCCTTGTCCCATCCTCAAGCATCACATGAGTATTGCGCACCACTACGTGATCATGGGGCCAATGAGTGGTTCCTCCCCAACGCTCGAAGACCTGCTTTTTGAGAGCCAGTTGTTCGGGGCTTGCCATGGAAGCCGGTGTGTATGCTGCATATATGGCCGTTCGAATCTGATTACTCTTTGGTGTGGGATCAGATCCATAGTGGATTGTGCGACTGTCCCATAGAATGAGGTCCCCAGGCTCCGCGCAGACCTTGTGTGGCCCCATACCTCGGACTCTAAACCAGTTCAGTTGCTCGGGTGGAAAGAAGTAGATGTCTTTGAGCGGCAGCCAAGAGTCCTTGTTTGGACGGGAATTGAAAAATTCTTCGTTATGCGCATGGGAGCCGGGCCATACGACAAGACCACCATCTTCGGGACCGGATGACGACAAGCATATGATACCTTGTATACAATGTAGTCCCCGTCGAAGAGGCGATTGATCCACGTGTTCCCAAGGTTTCCGTGTTGGTGCGTCGGGTCGATTTGGGAACGTGATGTTTAGGCTGTCAAAGCTCGCCAAAAGTTCATCTGTCCCCCAGAGAGTAGCGAACGTTTCTAGGACGGCAGGTTCCGTTCGAGCATCCCACATAAACTTTTCATGGGAAACACAGTACCCAGCAAAGGTGCGGATTTTATTCTGAACTGGCAAGTTTTTCTCAATCCAGGTATTGTTGTCCTCGAAATCAAGCTCAGTGCCAAATGAAAGGAGCCATTCTTTGGCCTTTTCACGATACTGCGTGACGCGCTCCGGGGGAATAACCCCCTTGATCACGGCAAATCCGTCTTTGGTCAGGTCATCACGGAAATCACCGTGGTTCGCTGATCTGATTCAAACTTAGTGACGTTGGAACAAAAGTATTCATATAGGTTCGATATTACCTCAACAAATCTGGTCTTGGCGAGGGAATCAACTGAATATCCGTGGATGAATTCTTGACATGTTCCGTGGACAAGCCTTGAAGAACTGAGACCGAAGGATACTTCTCACTTGACATTTTTGAAAAGTTAGTTTTCAATGGAGAAAGCTGATGACTTGAGGCCTATCATTTCGAACCAATATATACCATTTCAAAAGTAAGGGAGAGCCCGTATCACTGAGAGTTAGACAGGCCCAACCTACACATGTATGTACTTCGAGATAACTCTAACTTAAGAGCGGGCCAATGAAGGTCTTGCATCAAGCATTCCCCGCACTCACCCCACGCCCCCCACGCCCTGTGTGTCCCGTAGAGGTGCCCAGCCTGCCAGTTACGGCCCGTGTCGATGGTTCACTACACCCTAGAACGCCCCCCCAGACCAATATTGATCGGGTACTGCACCCTGTAAGGTCAGTAGCCGTTATCGCTACGGGCAAGAACTTATGTTGTTCGGACATTGTTCTCAACATCCCGAGGGTTTCTCCTATCATCTATCTCTTAACTACAACGGATATAATGATATCTTCACTTGTCAAGTAACAACTTTCAAGATTGTACCAAGACCTGAGCCAATGAGCAAGTAAGGCCTTTATCTTCACATCTTTTCAGGTCTGGTTCACCAGGTTGAGTGTTGTTAGGCGACTGCATGTCTTTGATAGAGATAAGGACTGGCTTAGGAATTGCAATCCGCCACAACCTTTCTTGCATCAAGGACATAAAACAACGAAAAGTTCCTTCCTACATCAATAACTCATCATTGAAAATCTTTTAAGAAATGGACCAACTTTTTAGCATTGTGCAGTTTGGCTCTATAGGCCCACTGCAGCCCAAATCAAGCAAATTGACAATTACTTTGCTTGTGATTACCTGTTGCGTCTTCGCCGTGGTATGTAAATTTATTTCTAGTTCGGGCTATGACGTACCGCGTCTAGACGATTTGGCACAGGACTAATTTTCATAGACAACTGGATACGATGCTGGCTTGATGTAAGGAATGTGTTGGATTTTGATTATCAAAACGCATGCTGACAGTGAACCCAAGGAATGGCATTAACATGATGCCCCAGTACGTGGATTGGTTTCAATTGACGACGGTGACCAAGTCTCTGAGCACTTGTGCGTCCTACATTGGATGGTTTATTGCTGCACTTTTCATGGGTCCTGTTATTGAACGCACCGGTCGAAAGGGCGGTATTGTTGTTTCAATCATCCTGAAGCTCATTGGGATTGCATTGATGACATCCGCTCAAAGCGTCGGCATGTTCATTGGAGGCCGTATAATTTTAGGATGGGCCAAAGGAACCGCAGCTATTGCTTCTTCCACGTAAGTCTTCGTTTACGTGCTCACTAAGCGCAGCCACTTGCTGGTGCATTATCTGACACAAAATATGGACCACAGTTGGTTGGCAGAGACTTTACCATCGGACATTCGTGGACGAGGCCTAAGTGTCACGTACTCGGTCTTTTTCGTTGGTGCACTCCTCGCTTCTGGGATATGCTATGGCACGGCAAATATAGCTAGCTCATGGTCCTGGCGTCTTCCATGTTTACTTATGTCTATGTGGTCCCTTGTTTGCTTTGGTGTACTGTTTGCGACGCCTGAATCGCCTAGGTGGCTGGTGAGCACATCTTGGACCCAAAGTTCGACTTTTATGAAGCTCATGATTGCTGATAAATCATGTCACAGGCTTATCACGGCCGAGAAGACGAAGCCTTAAAGGTTGTAGCGTCCATTTATTCGTCCGGTGACGTTTCTTGTCCGGTTGCAATTGCCCAGCACCTTGAAATTCTCAACGCAATGCGACATGAGCAAGAAAGTGGAAAGACGCTCTCCTACGCGGAGATTGTGCGAACCCCTAATTCTCGCAAACGCCTCATTCTCGCTCTGAGTGTGGCAGTTATCTCTATGTTATCGGGGAACAACATCGTATCATACTACCTGGGTGATATGCTTACTACGGCTGGAATTTACAACAGTCATGTACAGCTTCAAATTGTGAGTACTAATCTTGGTGATTTTAATGGCCGGAATTTTATGGGTCGAATCTAACACATTTAGACAATCGTCCTTAATTCATGGGCATTAGTCTGCGCAATGTCTGGCACTTTCCTGACGGATAAACTTGGACGAAAAACGTTGTGCTTGATGGCATGCACTATGATGACTATTACCTTGTTCTTGGTTGGAGTTTTAACTAAATGTTTGTCATCCACGATCATTCAGTTCAAATTGTGACATTTAATTACATACTAACACACGATTTCCAGTCTTTGGAAATGGAGCCGATACATCCGGGGTATATGCCACGATTGCCATGATTTTCCTTTTCCAAGGCTCTTATAGCTTCGGTATCACCCCTATAACCCAGCTTTATCCGCCTGAGGTGCTTAGCTACTCGATCCGTGCAAATGGCATGGCAGCTTGGACTCTAGTTGTTAATCTTTGCGGGTCAGCTTTCTTCTCCATTACTAGCATCTTATTCATCAAACTGACATAAGCTATAGACTTCTCTCGACACTGGCAATGCCAATCGCACTGGGAGCGATTGGTTGGAAGATGTACATGATCAATGGTGCGTGGGATGCACTACAAGCAATATTCGTGGTATTCTTTTGGATTGAGACCAAAAATCTCTCGCTTGAAGATATTGATCGGGTGATTGATGGCAACCCGCCACTCAATGGCATCGACCCTGAAGGGCACTATGACAAAAAGGATACCAAAGACCTGAATCCGATCACAGAGCATGAAGTTCAGAAGACGACCCGGGTTAAGCGGTTTTTCTGACTTACGTCTTAGTTCCTTTGCCCTTTTGTTTTCTAACGTTGCTAGGGCTTATACCGTGGTTAGTTGAATAAATTGACATCTCTCAAGATTATGCAACTACAGCAATGAATCGATGAAATGGCAGAAAAACTGTGTGCATGAAACCAACGAAAGAGTAAACACTATTGGCACAATAAAAAATAACCCCTAAATAACGTTCGGATCGTGTATGTTATTTTTCTTATTGGAACATTTGATCTTGGCTCAAACCTCGACCCTTTGTTGACCTGTGTTACCAAGCGTTAGCTGGACATATCATATATATGTTGATATTAACATCGACAGCCATACTCATCGGATGTGTTTTTTGGTGTCGATAGCAGAGGACAAGATGAATCAAAAGTGTTTACACCGCTGATAAGCCTGGCAAGAAGCTGCTCTAGCTGATCAGCATCGGGTGTGACCGACTGCACAAGTCGGGGTATTGGGGTATTGGGAGGATCTTTATATTGAGCCACAGGCTCTGTAGCCCGGCCGTCGAGAAAATGGGGAGAAGATGGATATATATCGTTTTGCAATTGTGCCATGTTAAGAGACCAAAGGAAAAATATGATGAAAGATGAATGCGAGAAGAACCAATCCCAGGATTTGATTGCTGCTAACGAAAGAAGAAATCACCGTAAGTGTCCGAGGGAATATGTTCTTTATGTTGGGCCCCACGGCTCATTTTTGGGATAAATACACCGTATATAGTGCAAACCGGGTAATTTGGAGTGTCTTGATCTTGATCTTTCTAGTTCCAGACCGGCTGGCAAATCGTGCAAGGTATATCAAACGTGTTTCCCCTCTCTTTCTTGAACCATATTTTCTCTCTGTGTGACAGCCACTTTAAGCCATCTATGAGTCCGCATCCTCCGAAGTTGACGGATCTTGCAGAGGAAGCAAAGTTTTTCGCTATCACAGAGGTTACTGAGGAATATCGGGGTTGGACAGTAGAGTCGAACAGTGTTACCCTCGCTCAGGGGCCGATCTACTGTGTGTTGCCCATTGGCGTCGCAGAATTCACCGAAAGGAAGTATACAGAAACAGTCATGGTTTTATGTCAGATACACCAGTTTATTCCATCAATTGACACCAGCATGTTCATTGATGGGGTTGTAGACATGTACATAAGTAGTAGTGTTCCAATGTCCAGTTTCGGGGTTGATATTGCAAGGAATGAATAAAAGGTTCACTGAAGAGTTAGGTAGGGAGATACCCCCTTTATTCACTAGAGAAGGCCCCATGGAAACAAAACCATGAATCATTTTCAATAGCAGGATGAACAAATGCAATAGATGTGATGAAATCTGAGCCAGTCAAAAGTTGATTAGGTAAACCGCGGGATGAGCCTGAAGGCCGGGGCCTCCACGAACCTCCCGCGAACGTATCAAACGGCATCACAACGCCGTCCACAGCCAGGGACCCCAGACTTCATCTCAACCTCAATAGTCCGGTGGAGATTATCTAGAATTATCCACCGACGAAAAAAACCCGCAGCGACCCAACCTAACCACCGAACACCAACTCGCAACCCAAAACCAACCTCACCACCCATCATGAGCTTCCTCTCCCGCGCGGTCACTTTGTTCGGCCTCATCCTGATAGCTCACGCGTAAGCTCTCCAATCATCGGCTTAATAACTATATCTACTCCCCCTCGAGCGAAGCTAACAATTCCCTCTACAGAGGCTACTCGGCCCACGAACACACTGTCCTCTACAGCAACCTCACATCCACCGCCCTCCCACAAGACATTATCATCGAAACCCTTGTTTCCGTATTAATTGTTTCAATCGGACTGGTCTTGGGCGCGCAGAAGTTGAAGCCGATTAGCTGGCGCGAATGGGCGGGCGAGATCGAACGGGATGGCGGAGCGCGCAACCCGTACCTGAGTCTGGAGGAGCGTTATGGATTCTGGGATATTCGGGTGAGTCTTATCTCTACTTTGATGTGTATCTTGCCGGAACTACATCCAGATGTGGATTTATAATGATGTGCTTTTATTGCGGGACATCAATCTTTGCTTTGAGTCAGGAATCTCAGGAGCTAACATTTGGAAAAAAAATATAGGCTAAGCGAAAGGAGTTTGCGGACTGGGTTCGCGGTCAGGATGTGTCGATCAAAGAGTGATTGTTGAATATTGAATATTGAGTTTGTGATTATGTGCTGCAGTGGGGGAGCTGTATAATATGCATTGCGGCAAAAGGATTCAGTTTTCAAATGAGATGCTCAGTTTGTTGCTGATTATGATATCTACATCCAGAACCGATAGTCGTGTACTAATCTTGGATAATCACTGGTGGCATGCGCCGATGATGAGGTGGCAAACTCATATTCATGGGATATACTCTAGAGGCGACCGAGAGGTTGCACAGACATACCACCCGTACGCCTCCCTGGCTGCCCGCTTGCTTGTGACCTTGAGCAATGGGATCACTGCTAGATATAGACGCTTTTGGCGCACCCGATTTGCATTCCCGCGCCATACTGATGCAGGATGGCGATGTATAATCTAGGCCATTGGAAGCATGACTCCGCCTAAATTATTGTGATTAGCCCAATAAGCAAGGGGGTTATATCACCTGCACGGTAGCAATAGGCAAGCTTATTCTAGAGTCGTCCGAGAATGCTTGGCTCAGCACAGGGAATCATGCGTTGAGGTGATCGCAATCCTGTATCTGGTGATGGGTAGAAGGCAAGTTGAGACCGAAGGCGAATTGCAGGTGCAGCCATGTAGTGCTGTAAATTGTATACATACGATGTAGCTGTACAACCTAATGACACAATATGCATGTCAATAGTACTACATACCTGTCCAACTAGTCACAAAAAGACCATCTGCAGTGCTCTGGGATCAAGCTTAAACCCTCGAGGTGCACGGTACGAGTATAGTATGTCGACCCTCTTTGTCCACTTTGATATCCTATGTACACCGTACGGAATAGGAAGATACTGCTATTTTAGTCAAGGCACTGCCCAGAAAAAAGAAAATATAAATATAGATGCGGTCCCCTACTGGATGGAGTTAACCGAGCCGTTGACTTGTCTCAAATTGACCCACCTTCGTCTGATGATCTGAGGAGTCTACAAAGTACGGGTTGGGGTTGCTGGTGCCCAAAGCACCAACCTCGAGATAATTGGTGTACAGAGTATTCCGTAGGGTGGAATTTGTGAATTAGATATTGTTAAAACTAGCTACATCCTTAAAACAATAATCTAATAATACTACAATGCCTAGTACATAGTAGAGGAAAAGGTACAGAATTTACCTCGGCCAACGGAGTACCTGATTTGATGACAACTGGAACCAAGTGATGTCTCACTTGGAGGCTGGTTCGACTTTCTTAGCCCCAAGACACGTAGGATCGCGCCATTATCTGAGGCCTAAGAAACTATTACTCATAGTAGTTTATATTGAGTCAGATGTGAGAAAATCCAGAACTGAACTGGATGGCATCAAAAGGGATTCGTATGCCGCCACGCGGTCAAGGGTATGTCCCACTTACTACTCCGTACGGGGTAGTAACTTCCAGGGTAACTTCCAGGGTAAGTAAACTTTCAGGCTACTGAAATCTGAATTATTGGCTGAAATTGAGACATATTTCGTTCCAAGTTTATAGATTTCTATATTTGTTATGATTACGGAGTACTTTGGATAGGCTGCCCAGCCCCGGTGGTCAGACGCGGCTAAGTTAGCTAGTGTCGGCATATTGCCACTATGTCAATATGCCAAGTATTCCAAGTAATTCCAATTATTTCAATTATTCCTTGATTTCGTGCAAAAGAAATAGGAACGCATTCTATATTTGCTGTCATTGCAGTTAATTATATTTGTCACGTAGCATTGTAGAAGTGAATATCCCCTATGAATATATCACCAAATACATGGGGCTTGTGGATTTGGTGTGACCCCAGAAATCGACTAAAATAGAAACAGCAAGACCTTGCAGATCTCAAATTGCGCTAGATCCAGACTCTGATCGCTGACTGGAACAGGTATTGGCAAAGTACGTGTGTAAACAGTCTACAATATGAAACTTCCGTTGTTTCCCAGGACAACCCCCAGCCTTATAATCCCACCACCCCCAGCCTTTTTCTGAGATCACTTTTATTTCTCTCTCCACCCTCCCCATATTTCCTTACAATAATCCATCTAATAATCTCTAATCCATCAAAATGCGTTTCTCCATCGTCTTCACTACCCTCTCGGCCATTGCCCTGGCCAGCGCCCAGAGCAGTGCCTCCGTCGAGGTAAGCAGAACCAAAACATCATACCATACCACCAAAAGAACAACATAAGCTAACCAATCCAACAGACTGTTGACAACCCTGCCACTCAGTACCTGACCCAGACCAACTCTCTCGGTGTCGTGACTGGCCAACCTGAAGCTGTCACTACTCAGCCCTCTGCTGTCACCAGCCAGGCCGCTGCCGTGACCTCGCAGCAGCCCGCTGCCTCCATCCCCGCCGGTCTGACCTCGCCCGTCGCCGGCCCCGGCGCCACTCACACCACTTTGTCCACTGCCTCCAGCAGCGCTGGCACTGGCACCGGCTCCTCTGCCACCGGCACCCAGACCTCAGGCTCTTCGGCTACTGGTACCTCTTCCACTAGCACCAGCTCCTCTGACTCCTCCGAGTCCTCATCCAGCTCTGGCTCTAGCTCCAGCTCGTCTGCTTCTGCTTCCAGCTCAGCCTCTACTGGTGGCGCTGCTATGGCCACCGCTGGCCCCGTCGGTCTCGGCATGGTTGCCGGTGCTGCTCTCGTTGCTTTCCTCTAAGCAAATTATGAGCCTTGTGACTGGCCAACGTCAATCTCATGTCTCCTATCGTACTGTGATGTCCACTCCGGTCCCAGTTAGGTGAGGGGTTGGTTGCGGTCGGTCGGTTATGTTGATCCAGTATTTGGATTAACGGGAATGAGGGACATGAATATGCGAACATCGATTATTTTTTTTAAGGGGAATTTGTTATTTCCCTCCCCCCAGGTTTCATATTGAATTTTTAATTCTTTAGCATTGGGCAGGACTCGTCTGTTTCACTGCGTTGTACTCGGAGGCGCATATTCACGGCGCACCTGGTTCCAACTTTTTTCTTCTCTCTTTGTGATTAACTTAATCCATCCCTGGGTAAATACGAGCCTTAATTTCCTGAGTATGTATCGAGAGTATAGATCATAAATGTGCGTTAGACATGTCGCAATTCCTCACAATATTATGGTAATAATTCATGCATATGATCGACAAGGGCTCGCTCCCTCATTTGTAGCAACAAGCAAATCTTAATTATTGCAAGGGGTCAGTGGGTACAGGTCATGATACATATCCCGCGATAGGTATTACGTATGTACGGAGTATGTAGTACATACATAGTCAGTCAGTCTCGTTAACGAGTGGGTGAATTTGGATTTCATCTAGGCACGCATTACACCACATATATGGAGTACCCCGTACAGCGTACTTAGTCCACAGCTTCTCGGAATAACACGCAAGGACCGTGATATAATTTTGTTTGGGCTGAAATAGGAGGCAAGGGCCATGAGCTCTCATCTAATTCAAATATTACTCTACCAAGACTTATACATGCCTGGCAGCTGCTATCGCTCTCGCACTCAAGGGACACGCCATGACCGCTTTCGAGGTACACATGTTGTCACCCAGATTCAAGAGATTGGAGAATTTAAATCACACTCCTTATCTTGCGGCTATTGATTAGATGGGGACTTGGCCCCATTCGAGACCTTGGAACTGAATATTATGGTGGCAGAATGGCCAGCTCTATCCCAAACTACCCTCAACAAGAACGACTAGATGCTGAGTACCCACGGCTCAAAAAACCATCAGATCTATTGTGCCGTATTGTAACAGATGCTTTTTGACCTCGCCGTTGAGGTTGATATTACCATCGTTCCACCGGAAAGTGCCTTTCTTTGTGAAGGTAACAAACACCATGCGATAGTACGACAACCACGGTCAAGCTCATTTCAAGAATGGGTGTACCCAGGGCATGAAAAGGCTGAAAGAAATAATGTAATTGGGAGTCAATAAGCAAGAGTAAAATTGAATGAGAGATCGTTGAGACCGGAAAGGACGAAAAGACATTGAAAGAACTGCTAGCAGTAGAAGAAAACCGGCTGCTTGAAGGTTTTTACAGGAGATAACTCTCAACAATGCGCTTGTCCCACGTTTAGAACGAGTGTCAAATTTCCCAGTTGTAAGCAAAAGCTGCGTCATTGGGACATCTTCATTTTCTGCCGCAAACTCAATCAAGTTGCAGCCTTACATCAGCCCCGTCTTCTATACGGAGTAGCTAAAGCGGCGATATCACTCTGTCCAGACTCCACTACTTGCGGAGAGGGAAATGTCATGCCAGTTGCTGTTGGGGAGTTTCTGCTCACACCCATCTTTGGCATTCGAGTGGCCAAATCTCGATGACCCCCTCGCACAGTCCAAATATACTTTTAGCTATCTATATGAAGATAGCTGGACCTTCTTCCTCTTTCTGTAAGCCTGACGTATGAATGATATAATATAAGTAGGCAGGGTATTATTTTTCGCCAAATAAGGAGATATGGCTCAATTAATCTCTCCCCCTTTATATTCCTAACTTCCTACAATAGATGTCTCATGGGATAGCAAGGGATATAGCAAGGACGGGGTGAAAGGGCAATCCCAAAGAGGTAATATTAGTTACGCGTCTATGACGCGACAAATATCACGTGACTGACGCGCGACCGAAAAGGTTAGTGCGACCTCCACTCAAAACAAACCGTCGACGAAGTAACCATTTCTTATCATTGTGATTGTGATTGTGATTGTTGTGCTTTCACTGGTCCGCATCACTTTCTGAATTTGCATTGTTCTCCAACATAGTTTATCCTATTCTTTTAGTACCCTACAACCATCCAAAAGTCCAGCATGGTAAGTCATTTATGTTCAACTCATTGACACATCGGTTTCCCAGCAACCACTGTATGCTCGTGCTCTGTATCTGACATGGATATCTAGCCGTCCAACTTGCGCCGGCTAGCTGCCGACCATGCTGCCCTGCACCGCGATCTTCCGCCGTACTACTTGCAGCCGTCAGACGGTGACGACCTGTCACAGCTGACAATACTTCTCACGGGCCCAGCGGGCACACCTTTTCACAGGGATTATGGGAGCTCCATCTTAAGATGCCCGATGACTATCCTAAGAGTCCCCCAAAGGCTACCTTTAAGACGAAGATATGGCATCCAAACATGGAGGAGCTCACCGGAGCCGTCTGTGTGGATACGCTTAAACGGGATTGGCAGCCCAATTTAACACTCCGCGATGTACTGGTGGTAAGTGGGACAGCGCTAGGGAAATGAGTTTTCGAACTAACGACAACACTTGTTTCTATTCAGACAATCTCATGTCTACTTATCTACCCCAACCCGGACTCTGCCCTCAACGCTTCTGCGGGCGCTCTTATGCAAGAGAACTATGACGCCTTCGCACACCAAGCCAAGCTCATGACCTCAATCCACGCCCCGATCCCACCCAACTTCAAGGATGCAGTAACCGAAGCAAAGCTCCGAGGTGAGGAGGCAGGGACAGCACGCGAGGAGAAAGAAAAGGACGCAGTCATTCAACGCCCGCGGAGACAGGCCCGCGCCCACGCCGCTGCAAGCAAGAAAACTGCCCGCAATACCACTGCATCTGAAAGCACACCACAATCCTCATATGCTTCCCAATCCTCATATGCTTCCCAATCCTCATATGCTTCCCAATCCTCATATGCTTCCCAATCCTCATATGCTTCCCAATCCTCATATGCTTCCCAATCCTCATATGCTTCCCAATCCTCAAACCCTTTCGCCGAACCTCCCCCGTCCATGACAGACGACGTCGACAGCGAAAGCGACGACCCCGCTAGCGCAAGCAAAGAAAACAACCCAACTCTTTCCCCCTCACCTGTCTACTTCGCGCCCCCGAGTCCTCGTAAGACTGCCTTGGGAAAACGCCCCCTCTCCGTCCTCTCAATTCACTACCCGGAAGACTCCGATGCAGACATGATGCTCATCGATTCTGACAACGACAACGACGCCCCCGCCATGACCTCCAATGAACGAAACATCACTGCAAACACACGTTCCCGTACTTCATCACCACTACGGAAAACACCCAAGCTCTCCCTACTCTGTGGAGGAGTCAATGCCTCCGGCCGTCTCCGCGATGAGATGCCAATATTCGAAGACTTGCCCCAGCTGGCTATGCAAGACCCCCTACGTCGGCTGAGCGGGGACGGTAAAGAGAACCGCGGATCCGTAGCCGTACGTGGGTTGAAAGAGAAGCGTGAATACCAACCCATGAAAACGCTTAATGGCTCTACTCCCGTTTCTCCAGCACATGCTCAACTACCCACGCCGTCACTACCATCGTCATCTCTGTCAGGCTCTTCCAATTCTGGAATCCCCAAAAAGAAAGCCACAAGCGGCTTGCACAAACGCCTAGCTGTCAGAGCAAAGCCGCGTATTGGAATCCGCCGGCTATGAGAAATCCATCCATCTATCAGGAACTTGATTTAATCTGATGGATTTCTTTTGTGCTGCATTTTCAGCCCTCTGTTTCATTTCGATAATTGGAGACAAACCAACTTCTGATTTGAGTCGAGCTGATTTTGATTTTAATTGGCTTTTGTTCTCCCCTCTCTCTACACCTATTTCACTACCCCTGCCCCCATTAGCGACATTTCTTGATACCCTTGGTGGTCTGTTGAATTCAACCGGACTTACAAAATTGCATGAAGCGAGGAGCGAGGAGGACTTCTGGAGCTGGTTCTATTACTGCATTGGCAACATGGCCAGGTTGGGCAAGGTGGCCCTGTAGTTACAATTTGACTTAGCTTGGACATAGTTGTCTGTTTGTTTATGAATTCGTATGAAATTACATGTCTCATGATAGTAACTAGTTACTGTAATACTCAAGGGAAGTAAGTAGCTACAGATCACTTCGTCTCTAGATATAGCAGCTATGAGCTGTGTTCCTTGGCCATCTCTCTTACGCGCATTGGAATTGGGTTCATTCTCTAGCAGGAGCTAGGCAACACCTATATCATAGGTTGATAGTGCAGTCAACAATGTGGCGCAACTTCATGACTTCTACAATCTAGTCCGAGCTTACAGTTTAGCAATGTTGTGATACTTGTGATACTTTCATGACGATATATGACCATATAGATTAATTGTACGTCTGCAGAAAGAGCCCTGCCCAGGCGGAGAGTAGGTAGAAGGTTGTAATACCATAGATTAATCGGAAGGATTTTCTGGGACTATCGAGCTGCAATGTCCTTCCCGCCAAGTTTCCAAACATTCCCAGAGAACGAGAACAAAGAAAACCAGGCAAGCTCTGGCACTAAGAGATTTGCCCAGGTTTCAACTAAAATGCTCAAAAAAAGACAAACAACCGCTTTGCACATATAACTGGATAAGTATAAGAATCCCAGGACACGTCGAAAAGATGATGGGTAGAATTGGGATAATTGGATGAAGCCACCGAGAAAAAGCGTAACCAAGAAAAGATATGCCGATAACGATATGTTCGATCCACGTTGGGATTGGATTATGTCCGTAGGCGTGCATGAGACACAGCATGCTCCGCTTGAGCGAAGAAGCTGCAGGGTGGCATGCAAGAAATATATCCCATGAAGAAAACAGAGCAGAGGTTCAGACCTCTACAGGGCGTAGGGGTTGACAGACCGAACAGTGAGGCATCTAGAGTTGAAATCGAAGTTAGTTAGGAACGCTCATGCTAGGGGGAAAAAAACTGAATGGGAATACATACGGAGGACTCTTGCTCAGGTCAGTCTTCAGGATGATGGGAACTCGGGTCATCTCTGTGACATCCTGGATAAAGTCTCCATCCACCTCGCGCAGCTTGAATAGATTCAAGTACTTCTCCTTGTTGGTCAACTTATTCTCGGGTGCATCACCAGTGCCGGAGGCAATCTTGGGGTCCGAGCGAGTACGGTGAGGTCCCTGCTGGTGGTGACCGTTGCGGGTAGGCGAGGGCGGCATGCTCTGAGTCGAGCGGTCGGCGGAGTTGAGCGACACGCCGGCTGCCATTTCAGTGACATCATCCACATCCTCATCGTCGTCGAAAAGGGCATCGACATCGTCCGCAGACATTGTGCCGGTCTCGGTTTGCTTACGCATGGCCTCATCGCGTTCTTTGGCCCGCTCTCTCGCGGCTTCGGCCTCGCGAGCAGCCGCGGCAGCTTGGGCAGCACGGGAGTTACCGGGCTTGGGACGCTCATCTTCGGGAATGTATGCGGACGAGGGAACACCCTTCTCCCAGTACAGCTCGAGCACACGGCTGTCCTTGCGATACTCAGCCTTCTTGAGCGGCAGCTGGTCGCAGTGAACACGTTTTTCAAAGCCGAATTCCGGAATAAGGACGTCAAAGGCAGACTCATAAACGCAGAGTACAATGCCCTCACTGATGAGATCGCCGCCAATCTCGCGACTCTTACGGTCCATTTTACGGCAGGCCTCAATGTGCACACTCTGCTCCTGGGCGTTGAGAGCCGAGTCTTTCTTGTTGTTGCAAAGATCGGCAGTCTTGTTCAGTGACTCGATATCGTCGTTGAACTCAATGGCACCCTCGGAGAGCACAGCCTCAAGTTGACGGTGCACAATGATATCGGCGTAGCGTCGAGAGGGGTTGGTGAAATGGGTGTAAGCCGGAACATTGAGCATATAGTGCTGGCGCATTTCATCGGGAGTACCACTGCTGACAAAGTACTTGGCACGCTGCATGGCCTTGGCAATGAGAGTCTCCATACCCTGCATCATGTGTTAATACATACATCTATGACGGTGAGTACAAGAAAGTCACTTACCTTGCGAAGATCCACATCTTGAACCTTGCAGAGAGAGCTCTGGAGGCTGCCGCTGCTGCTCGAGTCCATCTCGAAGCCAAGACGGTTCATCCGCTCAACAAACGAAGTAAGACGACGAGAGTTGGGCGAGAACTGACGACGCAGGAAAGCTCTGTCCGGCATAGCGGCCACGAGCTTACGAGCAACAAAGAAGTTGGCCTGGTGGCTCAGCTCCTCAACAAGTTCATGTGCTGGGGTTGACTCGAAAATATTGTATTCGACTGGCACATTCTCGTCATCAAGCTGCTGAAGCAGACGCTGCACAGGAACGTTTGACACGCGGTTACCGAAACGAGCTTCGCGGAACTTGCCAGCAGTGTTCTAAATGGTTGTTAGCATAAGGGAGAGAAAAAAAACGAGTGGGAGAATGCGAATAAACTTACGTGCAACAAGCGGATGCTGTCAGCAGAGATGCCACTGGTGTTGACATCAGACTTGCCCTGAACAAGTGCATTGACCTGATCGTAGTCAAGACGGCCAGCGCTCTTGATGACACCTTTGCCGATCCAGACATCGTCATCCACGATACCAGTGTTGGGATTGGCCTTGAATACCACGCTGACTGTAAGGCGATCTTCGCCAGGGACAAGAGAGCAAAGCTCAGTAGAAACACGGGTAGGCAACATGTTCATGATTCGATCCACCAAATAGACTGCAGTACCGCGCTTCTTGGCCTCACGGTCGACCAGAGAGTTACCCTTGACAAAGTGAGCAATATCGGCCACGTGAACACCGATCTCAACCTTGCCATCGGCAAGGCTCTTCACATGGAACGCATCCTCGAGGGACTTGCTGTCGGCGGGGTCAATCGTAAAGATGGTCTCTTCACGGAAGTCACGTCGCGAAGCCAGGGCGTCTCCCTCGCTAGAGACGGACCAGTCCTCCCAGCCGATGCTCTTCAGCACAGCATCGGAGAAGTCATCCGAACCGAAGTTGTTGTCGCGGAGGAGGGCATCTGTCTCAACCCGCAAGTCACCCATCTCTCCAAGCTGCTCAACGAGAGTTCCGAAGGGATGCAGAGAGGTAATAGGCCACCTCTTGATAGAAGCAACAAAGATTCGGTTGGCGTAGTCCTGGTGCTTCTCAACGAAGTCCCGGGGTGCCTGCTCTGTGGGGATGGCAATAAGTGGAACACGCTTGTCAGTGGGCTTGAACCAGACAATCTTTGGCTTGTCTTGGTGACGGTCATTGTGCGAACGACCTTGGGCACCATCTCTGGCTTGCCGCTCGGCCTCCTGCTTCTCCTTCGTAGCTTGGCTGCTGGGACGCAAGAGACCCAGGGTTCCTGAGAACATCTGGCCCGCCACACGCTCAATGACCGCAACAACATGGCCGGCGTACAAAGGCTTCTGCTCGTCGCTGATCTCATCCTCTTCGCACAGAAGAAGGCTCTGGCCCTCGACCTCGACATCGTCATTCTTCTTCTGGGTAGGGCGCTGGCGAAGACTACCACGGCGACGGATGCTTCCATCCGGGCCAATTTCCTGTCTATCGCCAGTGGAATCGGAGCGACCAAGCTTGTCATTTCCAGCATTGCTGTTGGAGCGGGCATCAGTGATGTCCTTGCGCTTCTTCTTTTCCTCCTTTTCTTTCTTCTGACCCCACACTTCGTCGACATCGAGAAGCTCGATTGCGACATAGTCACCCTCAAGGGCGCGGTTCCGATCTTTGCTACCGCAAATGAAGATGTCGGCATCAAGATCATCGGTGGTAACATAGGCATCGGAACGGTTCTTTTTGTTGACACGCAAAACACCAGCGACCAACTGTCCATTGCTAAGGAGCGCAGGGAGGTTTGCCTGAGGAAGGTAAGGAGTGAAAAGGGTCTTCCGCTGCTGCTGTTGTTGCTGCTGTTGTTGAACAGAAATCTGCGGTGGGGCATGCTGGCTTGCTTGAAGACCACCCATACCTTGGGCGTTCTGCTGCTGAAGAGCTTGGAGCTGAGCCAGCTGGAGAGGGTTCAGTTGCTGACTACCGAACATCTGAGGTGCCATCATAACTTGGCCCTGAGGAAGTTGGATAAGCTGAGGCTGGCCAAGCTGAGGTTGGCCGCCATACTGGAATTGACCAATGGAACCCATGGACTGGTTCATCGAGCCGCGCGAGCGGTGGCCGGGCTGGAATCCACCCTGCTGCTGACCGACAGGCCTCTGCTGATCCTGGCTCTGGTTTTGGTTGTTGGGTTGGCGCCAGTTGCCCTCAAAGTTTCGCGAGGATGACCGAGCATGGCCAGCCTGGCTGGGTCGTCGTTGATTATCAGATTGATTGGTTGTTGGCTCACTGGCTTGGGGGAACTGGAAACCGCCAGCACCGCGACCGGAGATGGAAGCTCGGTTACCACCGATGGCCATCGATTGGCTGCGGCCGTGACCACCAGCCCGCATATTTCCGGCCCGCTGGAAGGCAGGTCCCTGGGGTCCCTGGGGTGCCGGAGATGTGCTGGATGCAGGCTTATCATCCGATGAAGACTGATTATCAGAAGCACTTGCGCCAGGAGCAGGAGCTGGGAACTGGAATCCGGAAGCTGTTCTCTTCTGCTGGGCTAGCTCGGCAGCTTTCTTAGCCTCAGGAAGAGCAAGCGAGTGGCGGCGCTGGTGACCACCGCCGGGAGGACCT